TCAGAGTGAACCATATTGTTGTGAGTCTGGAGTCACATGTAGGCCGGACCAGGTAAGGACGGCAGTTTCCTTCCCTAAAGGATGTGAATCAGATGGGCTTTTGCTGACAATCAACAATGGATTCACGGTCATCATTAGATTCTTAATTCCAGACTTATATTCAAAGTTATTTATTTTATTCCACCATCTGCCATGATGGGATTCAAACCCAGGCATTTCTGGGCATCACACCAGTGGAAGGATATATTGCTTTTGGAGGGAGTGTACCTTAGATTAGGTACCAGAATGATACCTTGTATTCCCTGGAATTTACACAGTAAAGGATGATTTTAGGTCCTTTTTAAATCTTTCCCCTCTCACCTTAAACCTATGCCCTCTGGTTATGGATTCCCCTACCCTGGGGAAACGACCTTGGCTATTCATCCTATCCATGCCCCTCATGACTTTATAAACTCTGATAAGGTCACCCCTCAGCCTCTCATGCTCCAGGGAAAATAGCCCCAGCCTATTCAGCCTCACCCTTTAGCTCAAACACCCCAAACCTGGCAACATCCTTGTAAATCTTTTCTGAACCCTTTCAAGTTTCACAACATCCTTCCTATAGCAGGGAGACCAGAATTGCACACAGTATTACAAAAGTGGCCTAACCAATACAATCACCATTCATTGAACATTTCAATGTCTTTTACCCACCTCCTTACCTACAACCCTGTACACTGCTGGTAATCAGAAATCTATCAGCCACTACCATAAATATTCTTAAAGACTAAGCTTCCACATCCCTTTGTTGTAAGGTTCCAAAGGTTCACAAGACTCTAAGTAAAAAAACTTTCTCTTCATTTTGGACTTAAGCGGTTTCCCCCTTATTTTTGAATTGTGTTTCCTGGCTTTTGATTCCCCAAACAGGGGAAACATCTACCCTGCCTATCGCTTTAACTATTTTACAAGATCACTTCAAATTATAAGTCATAGAGTCATGGAGCTGTACAGTATGGAAACAGATCCTTCGGTCCAACTCGTTCATGCCGACCAGACATCCTAAATTAATCTAGTGCCATTTGCCAGCATTTGGCCCATATCCTTTCCTATTCATATACCCATCCAGATGCCTTTTAACTGTTGTAGTTGTACCAGCCTCCACCACTTCCTCTGGCAGCTCATTCCATACACGCATCACGTTCTGTGTGAAAAAGTTGTCCCTTAGGACCATTTAAAATCTTTCCCCTCTCACCTTCAACCAATGCCCTCTTGTTTTGGACTCCCCTACCCTGGGAAAAGACCTTGGCTATTTACCATATCTATGCCCCTCATGATTTTATAAACCTCTATATGGTCTCCCATCAGCCTCCGACACTCCAGGGAAAATAGCCGCAGTCTATTCAGCCTCTCCCTATAGCTCAAACCTTCAAACCCTGGCAACATCCTTGTAAATCTTTTCTGCACCTTTTCAAATTCTTTGAAATTCTAGGGAATACAGGTTCAGTTTGCCCAATCTCTCTTCATAGGACAGTCCTGCCATCCCAGCTACAAGTCTGGTTAACTTTTCCTGCATTCTCTTTGTGGCAAAATTATCTTTCCTTGGATAAGGAGACCAAAACTGCACACAGTAATCCAGGTGCCTACTACGATCGGGCATAGTGCTGGTGTTCCTGATGACAATGCTAGCACAGGTACAATGGGCCAAACTGCCTTCCGTATGGAAACACCTGTCATTAACGGCCATTAAATATGGAAAGTGGCTGAATGAAAGTAGTTATTCCTTTTAAAAAAACACATGCGCGATTAACAATCCATTTCACTTTTCCCGCAAAAGAAATGCTATGCAGTTTCACAAATTCCACAATGGTATTAATTATTGAAATGATGTAGCTGAACGCCCCCCCCCCCCACCATTGTGGAATGTTTCCTTTCCTCAGGCTGCAGAAAATTAGAGTGACAAACCCTGACATTCATTTCCCATCCCCCCACAAACTCGCGGGCTTCGAAATTAAAGATCCTGCCTGTGTGGCCGGATTCCACCACCTTCTAAAACACATCTTTAAATCGCCAGCCGAAAAATAAATCTTCAAAATAAATACGCAGCCCAGACCCCTTCACTCTGAACTGAACACTCTGCAGTAGCGAAAGGTCCACACCAACTAAACTGAGAAATCAACCCACTCTGTTACCAACAGCATTGATATGGCTGGATTCAAAGTCCAAAGAAAAGTTTTCAATTTAGCACTTAGCTATTCCAAAACGCATTTTCAATAACTGGATAGTAAAGCTCAAAATTCTGCAAGGAACCAGCTTATTTGTTTGCAATTCCTTTAACTCAGAATCCACAATCGAATGATAAACGATCGCAGCATTTTATCACAGATTTAAGGATTTATAAAATCTATCCAGGGTTACATTGAATTCAAGATAAATCTGAATGCAGTATCCTGTCATTGACCATTAACCTCCAGCACCACCTGGGAAACCAGCTTGATATACATATATATATAGTGTAAACATGAGCACTCTACCACTGCACATGAATCCCAGCACATACCACGACAGTTAACTTACAATTTAGCAACAAATATCCACACGGAGATACTCTGCCTGAAAATGTTCACTAAGCAGCAACAGTCCTGACGTTCACAGCTTCCCGCATGCCGTACCATGTGGTCTAAAGCTGCTTCACATAAATGTGTAGTCTATCAACTGATAAGGAATCAGATGGGCAGAGAGTCAAATTCTCCCTTCAGTGTTTTTACTACCGACTGACTTGGCCAATCCACGTTGTGAATGCGACAAGAGAAGTCTGCGTCGAGAGACGGGAAAAAATTCAGACAAGATGCTGAAGAAATCTACAGATCTTCTTGTAAACTACAGATCACTTCTGAACAGGCTCTTTCCTGATTTTTCAGAAGCAAGTAATTTTCTCTTCCAGATGAGAAACTAATGCTTCTAACAGGAGAGACGTATCACACTTCAAACTTATACGAAACACAGTGGAAAACTGATAATCAAATCCACACATAAAATTAAGTTCTCACTACACACTTACTTATTTATGAATCTCTTTGTTTCCTTGGCAAGACTGAGATAAATATGTAGGACGGGGAGTCGAGAATCGCAAATTGATGCAATTTTTCTGTTGCTTTTAGAATAAATCCCCTAAAGGATTGAATCAATAGACATAAAAACCCTCCATAAAACGGCAGTGTTTTACAGGCTGGAACTGATGGAATGTTTACCAAAGACACAGCGTATGGAAGAAGTATTTGTTTAATCTTTGTAATCTCAGCCAAAGAACACGCCCAAGCAAAACGAATGCTTTTAACTTTAATTGGCATGACAAACTCAGAAAAAGACTAGCAGAGTGGTTCACTTTACAGGCTCCTAACACACACACACACAGCTCACAATTCCACTTCAAAGTCTCTTTAGTTGACAGAAAATATTTTACCTTTCAATTTCTGTTGCAACAATTTTCTCCCGTTTCCTCCTGGCAATACTGCCATCAGCTCTCAAGAACCGTGCTCATTTTAGTGACTGGTTCATGCTGTTGGAAACACCAAGTTGGGAGTCCCCCGTCTGCACTCCCCTGAACCTCACATACAAGCGGTCAGTGAATAGAGATCTTCGTTCGGTTTCCCTGTTCAATTTTCTTCTCAGTTGTGCTGTGTCCATTCCCAAATTAGAGTCAATACAGGCACAGACAGAGGCCATTCAGCCCACTGAGTACATGCCAGCTCTCTGTCAAACAATCCAGTCAATACCATTCCTAGACTCCTAAAGTCAAAAGGTAGCTTCCCTTTTTGGTCCTTCAGCTTTCTGAGCTGACTGGAAGACAAGTCTACCCACTGACATTGACTAGAAGACAAGTCTACCCATTGCCCTTGATTGGAAGACAAGTCCATCCATTGCCATTTACTGGAAGACAAGTCTACCCATTGGCCAAATTGCTCAATTTCTGTAAAATCACCATCAAATGCCTGCTACTCCTTGTCACCCAGTGCAGGATCAGAACTTTCATTTGACCCATAGGTCATGACCCTAAACTCAAAATCTGCCATAATAACACAAATTTCTGCTTGTTTCTCAAGGAGTTGCCATGACTCTTGACCCTGCATGGTGACCCTGGTGAGTGATTGGGATCCCTAGGGGAGAAAGTGTGCATTCTAGATTGGGCAAAAAGAAATTCCAGACATGTGGATTTTTCACTCTGTTTAAAGATGTTGGAATATGAGTCCTGCACTGTTGTCAATTCATAAACCTGACAGACTAACAAAGTAAAATGGAAACATCTTCATAAATCTTCAGCTTTAAGTCTGGAACTGTTTTTTGATATCTCCATTTTTAGAAGAAATAAATGTTTTTTCACACAGCGAGTGATTAGGGTCCAAATAATATGGAGACAGATTAAATAGAAATGTTCAAATGTGGGTTTGATTGCCATTTTAAAAGGAACAAAGTGTAGGATTATTTGGTGAAGTTAGGAAAATGGTAGTCAGTGAAATACTCATTCACAGAACCAGTGTAAACAGAATGGGCTGAATGGCCTCTCCTGTGCTGTAGTAATTCTCTAATTTTAAACGATAAACATAAATCTAACTGTCTTTCAAATCAGGGTTCGCTCTGGGATCTGAATTACCCAGTATTACTATCAGTGTGGAATATAACAAGCAACACAATAACTGTCACATTGTTTACTCAGGAAGGCTCTTTCAGTTTGACCAGAAGGTTTGAAGGAACTCACACTCACAATAATTTTGAAACTGCTAAGATCCACCTGTTGTGTTGTTTCAAGTTTAATAGTAAATGTCCCATGATACTGTTCAATATTAATCGAAGAGAAAGCTTTCTTGAACAGTATTCAACCAAGATTAACAGACCAAAAACTGGTTGACCTGTCAGTTCTCCCAGATCTTTGGTGGGATTTGGCTGGAAGCAAACCAGTTATTATATTTCCCAATTTAAAATGCTGACAATAAATCATCTAGAAATACAAGTTTGCTCTTTCTTACCCCTCAGCTACATGACATATGAAGAGCTCAGACAGCACCATCCAGTCAGTAGTTCCACAGCTCAGAGGTGAAGGTCTTTCAGCAGGTTACCCATCGCCTCAATACCTTTACAGGAATAACAGCGAAACATGACCCTAAACATAGATGCACACAATCATACAAAGAAACACAGACAAAATTAACATGCAGATGCACACAAATGTACAAAAACACATATGGTGCATTTCCTTGGGTTGATTTATACTATGGACGTTGGTGCAAATCTAGTGGCTGCACCCTGGATGCCCAATATTGTCCTGCCCATTGCACCCCTGCTCATTACACCCCTGTGCATTACACCCCTGCCCATTGCACTCCTGCTCGCTACTCCCCTGCCCATTACACCCCTGCTCGTTACACACATGCCTGTCACACCCCTACCTGTCACATTCTTGCCCACTTAGGGTCATACAGTCATACAGCACAGAAACAGGCCCTTCAATCCAAGCAATTCATGCTGACCATAATCCCAAACTAGACTAGTCCCACCTACCTGCTCCTGGTCCATGTCCCTCCAAACCTTTCCTATTCATGTACCTTTCCAAATGTCTTTTAAAAGCTGTAATTGTACCCACATCCACCACTTCCTCAGGAAGTTCATTCCACACGCGAACCACCCCGTGTAAAAAAAATTGCCCCCATGTCATTTTTAAAATCTCTCTCCTCTCACCTTAAAAATGTGGCCCCTAGTCTTGAAATCCCCCCATCCTAGGGAAAAGACAACTATCACCAACCCTTTCTATATCCCTCATTATTTTATAAACTTTATAAGGTCTCCTCTCAACCTCCTATGCTCTAGTGAAAGAAGTCCCAGCGTATCCGGCCTTCCTTTATAACTCAGACTTTCCGTACCCAGCAACATCCTGGTAAATCTCTTCTGAACTCTCTCCAGCTTAATAATATCCTTCCTATAACTGGGTGACCAAAACTGGATACAGTATTTCAGAAGAGTCCTCACCAATGTCCTGTACAACCTCAACATGACTTCCCATCTCTTAAACCTGAAGGACTGAGAAATGTGGGCAAGCATGCCAAATGCCTTTTTAACCACCCTGTCTACATGTGATGCAAATTTCATCCTTATTCATTGCCCTCCTATTACACCGCTACCCGCTACACCCCTGCTCATTACACCATTGTGCATTACCCAAGTGTCTATTACACCAATGCCTGTTGCATTCCAGCTTGTCACATGTCTAATTGTCACACCCCAGCTAGTTATACACTTGCCCATCACACCCCTGCTCATTGCACCCTCCGGACCTATTACACCCTTACACCCACATCGATTACAGGCCTGCTAGGTTCACCCCAACCAATGACACCTCCACTTTTTTAATTTCAAAAATATACTTTATTCATGAAAAATATTTTTGTATATATACATATTCACAAATGTAGTTCGGTTCTGTACAGTAACATATCACGGACACAAACAAACGTTGGAGTTTGACTCTATCCATAAAACCAAAGACATCTCTTACACATACAAGACTATATTTACATGCCTTGAGGCACTAAGAGGGTCTGACCCCCTTTTACCTACAGCAGGAAGACCTCAGACAGTGGTCTTTCCCCACTGCACCTTGGCGGCAGGTGCCCCAAACTTTAGTGTTTGCTATACCCCCATTCATGTGCTATCCCTATGCCCACTACAACCCTACTTGATACAATGCCACTTGTTACACCTCTTCATCTGTTTGAGTGCCCCATCCTATTGTGTGGTAATTGTCCAGAGAAACATTGGGCTAATTACAGGATGATCAGCCATTGCACAACCCCCTTGCCAAACTGATAATTACAGTTCAGGAACAAACTACTGCAGATGCTGGAGATATTACAGCTGCCTTTAACAGAATTCCCACACAGATCAGAGCAGAGATTTAAAATGCAAACATTCAGATTTCAGTAAGATTAATGGCAGTGGAGGATGGGAGTAGATTGCCTTTTATTTCTGACACTTTTTTAACATCATTGTTTTAGTTCTTCCCAAAACATGCCTTGAATGCTCACAATGCACTTTTCAGTGAAATTTCCCTGTAGTTAATAAAAGGGGGCTATTCCAAGACATTCTCAACAAGCATTATTTCATCTGTAGATTTTATTGATTTTAGCATTCCCTGAGGGATCTTGACAGGGTGGATATGGTGAGGGAGTTTCCTCTTATGCGAGAATCTAAAACTAGTGGTCATTGCTTAAAAGAGGTGGATCATTTAAGATAGAGATAAAAAGAGAATTTTTTTTCTCAAGACAGGCTCATGAATCTTTGGAACTCGCTTCTTTCAAAGGTGGTGGAAACAAAGTCTTTGAATTGTTTTAAGGCAGTGCTGGATACAGTCTTGATAAGCATGGGGGGGGGTTGAAACATTATCAGAGATACGCAGGAAAAAGAAACATAGAGATGTACAGCTCAGAAACAGATCCTTCACTCCAACTCATCCATGCCAACCAGGTATCCCAAAATTAACTAGTCCCATTTACCAGTGTTTGGCCCATATCCCTCTAAACCCTTCCTATTTATATATACAGCCAGATGCCTTTTAAATGTTTGGCGAAGTAATTGCACAGTTCTGGAGCAGATGGGGCCTGAACTTGGGTCTCCTGGCTCAGAGATAGGGATGCTACCACTGTGCTACATGAGCCCTGATGTAGAGTCAGCAGCTTAGCTATGACCATGCTAAATAGCGGAGCAAGCTTGAATGGCCTGCTCCTGTTCCTAATTCACATGATTGTATGAATAATCAAAATTGGGAGATTGTTCTGCCGCATACAATCTGTGAAACTGAACCTCATTCATGGAAATTTTTGAATATTGCCCATTTGCCAGGTCAGAAGATGCAATTTTACTCCTGAGGAAAAAAGTTGCCCGAAATGAGAGTAGGTCTTATTCAGGATGTGTGAGTGGTAGGGATGCAGGAAATACACTTGTGCACCATGACCTCAGAAGTACACAGCTACGGGAGAGCCCTTACTCAGTCTAGCCTACATGTGACACCAGACCCACAAAAATGTGGTTGACTCTTAATTGCCCTCCAAATTACCTCCAAGGTCCACTCAGCTATAGAAACGTAGAATACAGGAACAGGAGTAGGCCAAATGGCTTAGTTGGTTGCAGAATTGGAGGAGGAGGGGCAGAGGAGTAAGGGAGTGGTGGTGAAGAAGAAACTTATAGGTGCTTGTTATTTGCCCAGGTGTAAAAGAGTAGAAATATAGAAAATAGGAGCAGGAGTAGGCCATTCAGCCCTTTGGGCCTGTTCCACCATTCAATATGATCGTAGATGATCATCCAACTCACTTTCATTTGCTCCTCACTTTCTCTCCATACCCTTTGATCCCTTCAACCCTAAGAACTATATCTAACCTCTTTTTGAAAACATTCAATGCTTTGGCCTCAACCACATTCTATGGCCAAGAATTCCACAGGCTCACCACTCTCTGGGTGAAGACATTTCTCCTCACTCTAGTCCTAAATGGTCTTCCTTATATTCTTAGACTGTGACCGCTGGTTCTGGATTCCGTGGTCATCAGGAACATCATTCCTGTGTTTACCCCATCTAGTCCTGTTAGAATTTTAAAAGTTTCAATGAGATTCCCTGCTCATTCTTCTGAACTCCAGGAATATAGTTCTAACCAATCCAGTTTCTCTTCATATGTCAGTACTGCCATCCAGGAATCAGTCAGGTGACCAGCAATGAGGGATGAGTCAAGAGATAAACTTGCCTTGCCACTGATAACCACATCTCACAAAAGGATAAAAATGGGGGAAACTGTTACTGCACATCAGTGCAAACTCATGCTTAAACAGCCTAGCTTTTATGCAGTTCTATTGTAAATTTCTACATTCCACATATAAATTGGAAACTGAAGATAAAAAATGGCCTCAAAAATTAAACTCCCTCATCAATGATGACTTTGTGTCTCTTGTGGGAGGTGTTTAAGTGGTTCTATCATAATTTCTATGAAAAGTCGGCATACAGGAAACGTTTTATTAAATAATGAGATAACCAGCAGAAACTCCCTGAAGTTATTAAAAATGAGAATTATTATAGTTGAACTTCATGACACAACTATCAAAATGAGAGCTGAAAACATTCTTTTATCTGCACTGTTAATTGGCAGCAATTTCAGTATTTTACGCATCGTGATCACAAAAGTGTGCTCACAGCGAGGTACAGAGGCATGAAGTTAGAATGATGTACACAGTCAAGAAAATAATTTTTTTCAAAAATCATGATTTTTTAATCACTCACGCATTTTATTAATAAACACTACAAGGTATCAATTTTAGTATCAATGTTTGAAAGATATTAACCCGGAGTTTAAGTGCTGAGTTACAAAAATAATTTTTTCAGTGTATTTTAAGTAGAATAAACCAAATTAAACCCCAAACGATATGATACTGGGTTAGAGGGTTTTCAATAGGTTTTAATCCCCGATTTTAACTGTTCCAGCATTGGTGACCATACCTTCAGCTCTGGATATTCCTCCCTCCTCCTCTTCACTTCATGTCCCTCTTTAAGGTCTTGAAACGTTGATCTTCAGCCAAATTTTTTTGGTCATCTGCCTTAATATCAACCTATAAGTGGCTTGGCATCAATTTTTTAAAAAATTCATTCAAGGAATGAGGGTGTTGCTGGCTAGGCTAGCATTTATTGCCCATTCCTAACATTTAACTACATTGCTGCGGGTCTGGAGTCACATGTAGGCCAGACCAGGTAAGGATGGCAGCTTCTTTCCCTGAAGGACATTAGTGAACCAGATGGGCTTTTCCTGACAATCGACAATGGTTTCATTGTCATTAGAACTCTTAATTCCAGATATTTATTGAATTCAAATTCCATCATCTGCTATGGTGGGATTCAAATCTGGGTGCCCAGAACATTAGCTGGGTCTCTGGGTCAACAATCCAGCATTATTACCACCAGGGTATTGCCTCCCCGTGTCGCCTCCAAATGTTGGTTTAGAACACATCAATGGTGTGGTACATTTTATTATAGAGTCATACAGCATGGAACCAGACCCTTCGGTCCAACCAGGCCATGTTAACCATAATCCCAAACTACCTG